ACCTGAGCGACACGGGGCGAGGCCCAGGTCGGGTATAAAGTGCAGCCAATACTGAGACGTCCTCACCAGAAGATGGGAGATGGTCACCTCTCTGCTTCTCTCAGAGGACGGCCTTCCTGCCTCTGAGGGGGGCCACTGACCGTCCTGGTCATCGCACGGATTCTGCCACTCCTTGGGGAGAAGGAAGAGAGTCCTGCTCCAGACCCCAGGGGGCCCTGCTGTGCTGGGCCCCAGAGTTAGGATCTTAAGGACTCCATGGCATTCTGCGGGGGAGAGAACTGGTACTGAAACCCACTGAAGCGAAAATCAGGAGTCATCAATACAGGACCCAAACAGCAGGGGAAGGGTGCAGCCTGGCCCAGGGAGAAAACAGGGCACAGTCTCACCATCTGCCTCATCCGCCACCTGTCCAGCCCTCCTCTCTCTGTGGGGCATTAGTCCCTCTTCCCAGAGACAGGCTTTTCCCACGTGGTAAAGAATACATGGGCTGCGAGAGCTTATAACAGTCCAAAACACAGAGCAATCTAAATGTCCACTGATAGATGGATGGATCAAGAAAATATGGTATATATGCATTTACATCTAGATAGACAGAAATATAAACAGAATGAAATATTATTTAGCCATTAAAAAGAAGCATATTCTGCCACTGGTCACAACATGGATGGACCTGGATGACTTTAAGTCAAGTGAAACTAACCTGGCATAGAAAGAAAAAATTATTATATGATCTCACTTACTCTGCGTGCGCGTGTGCATGCAGGCTGAGGATTGAACCCAGGGGCACTTTTCCACTGAGCTACATCCACAGCCCTTTTCATTTTTTGAGACAGGGTCTCACTAATTTGCTGAGGGCCTTGCCAAATTCCTGAGGCTGGCCTCAAAATTGCAATCCTCCTGCCTCAGTCTCCTGAGTTTTGCTGGGATTACAGGGTGCACCACCATGCCTGGCAGGATTTTTTTAAAGAGTTCAAATACACGGAGACAGACCATAAAACATGGTTACCATGGGCTCAGGGGAGGAGAAGTGGAGATGTGGGTCAAAGAATCCAAAGTCCCAGACGTGTGGGATAAAGGAGTATAAAGACAGAGGGAGAGCTTGCTGGCTACTGCCATTGGTTGGCTGGGGTCACCTGACCAATCTCCATGGCAATGGACCCAAGGCCGGTGATTGACATCCTCACCAGAGGAACGAGAGATGGCAGGCAGACACGAGCAGGCACTTACTGCATCTTCTAAGACACTCTTTTCTCTTCTTGCTTGAGCTCCCTTCAGGTTGAGTTCTCACAAAGACACTTTAACTGGAGACAGCTCCAAGAGCAAAAGAGGAGGGTCGCTGTGGGTTCCGTCTCTTGACCACGTCAGCGTCCTGGTTGGGATGTTGTCCTTAGTTTTGTAGAATTGCCCTTAGAGGGTGTCGGAGAGAAGACATGTCTGACTGTATTAGTGCTTAAAACTGAATATGAACCAAAAATGATCTCTTAAACGGGATCATTTAAAACCAAAACCCAGGAAACAAAGTAAGAGTCCTAACTAACCAAATTTAACGTGGGCAGAGGCTGGCCTCGCCATGAGCCAGAGAACACCGCCAATTAGTCCTACAGCCTGCGTCTCCAGAAAAGCAAGACTCGTTTCTTCCTAAATCATCTTCCTTTTTAATGACGACAAACAAGAAAGTCTAGACGGGTTCCCTGAATAGCAGCAGGGTTCACATCTGCATGGTGGTAATTAGAAGGAAAAGTTCAGAGATGACCGGAGGGCCACAGTTCACGTACCATAAGAAATGCCCGAATGTGCCACGCAGCTTGGAATGTGCCCGGAGCCTTCCTACGCAGCCACACATGTCAGACATCAAAAGACCTGAGGTCTGGAATTAACTCTTAACTGGGTCAAGGAATCAACTAACAGAGAACAGCTAAGCGCCGGTCAGGAAGGACTGATTTGTCCTCCTTAAACTGGGGACAGGGACAAACGACAATTCACCCTATCTTCCCTGGGAGAGTGACTTCTGTGAATCCCGACCTCCTCACGGGGATGTCGTGGCCCGACCCCTGTGGGTGGTGGATGGACCCCAGTTCTCTTCCCACTGGAAACGGCCCGGAAGGCCCCTGGCATGATGAACGGTTTATGGGAACGTAAGAATCAGGGGTGCACCCCCATGTCTTCAGGGAGAGAGTGAACCGTCTCTGGCAGATACTCAGCCCCTGACATGGAATAGTGTGACGGTTCTGTGGTCCCCTCCTCTTGACAAGGGACAAAGGAGCATGTGCCAGACAGAAAAATCAAGCAGCTCTGAATCCTTCCAGATCCCTACACAGCGCTGTAATCGGCCAGCAGGAATGAGCTACATTAATGTCCCCTCAGGAAATTGAACAATCGGTCAGTGAGGCAGATGACGGGCCAGGGCCTGCCGACAGGAGGTGAGCTCACGAGCAGGGCTCCTGTCTTCTGTGTCCCAAACTTTGATTGTTTTTTGTTTTGTTTGTTTGTTTTTGTTTGGGTACCAGGATGGAAACCAGGAACATTTAAATACTGAGCCAATATTTCATATTTTTATAAAGTAAAAGTATATCTTATTTAGAAACTGGGTCTCACTGAGTTGCTTAGGCCCTCTCTAAGTTACCTCAAGCTTGCAATCCTCCTGCCTCAGCCTCCTGAGCCGCTGAGATTACAGATGTGTGCCACCAGGCCCCATGGAGTGGAGAAGACGCACCGACTCTGGAACACGGCTTCAGGAAAAGGAAACTGCTTCTTCCAAAACAGTGATGAGCACATTTTAATTGGACTCAATAAGTGGTTTATTGAGTGTCTATTCAATCTACATTTATTGTTTAACTTATCCTCCTAACCCCCACCCATGGGGTGGTAAGTTCTCTATGATATCAGTCTCACCACATGAGCACACTGGGACTCGGAGAGGGAAGGTGCCCAGGGCCCCGCCTTGGTACTTGTGGGTGCACAGTAACCGTGGGCCTTCGGTAAGAAGTGGGCAAGGACGCAGACTCAGGTTGGTCTTGCAGAACTCAGGCTGTGGCACATCTGCTCAGCACCAGAGGCTTCAGACAGAGGTGCACTGACACAGGGTTGTCACAGCCCTCCGCACATGCCCGGGGAGGTGCACCCGCCCGCCATCTTGTCACAGTCCTGCCTCTTGCCACTCACTACTCTGCCCTGGATGGTCACCCCGGTCTTCACCCAAGCCCCACACCCAGACATGAGCCCCTGGGGGGCAAGAGGCTATGGTGTTCCCATCTTGAACCCCTGGGGTGTGACACAAGGTAGGGAATGAGTCAGCATTCCAGACCCGAGTGGACACCACTTCTTCAGACCAGGAGAGGCACCCACCGCGCCATCCAGCCACCGACCAGGAAATATTCACCAAGTAGCAACTGCAGGCCCAGCCCTGAAGCAGAAGGCAGAATGTGGGAGACAAAGACTGCACCCCATACATAAGTTCAGTTAACATAACGATGATTGATGAGAAACCGTGAGGACATGATGTCCCCCTCGAGGAGAAGAACCGAGTTCCCGCATTTGCCCTTTCACCCCGTGTGAGCGACCACTCAAGTCACCCGTCCAGAACGGAGCTGGGGGCGGGGCGGGGTCCAGCCCTCCACTCCACTGGCTTTTTGGACCAGAAACAAGCAAACAGGTAAGGAGACACTAACCACATTAAAACCAGCCAGTTGGCCAGGAAGGAAGTGACGGGAAGTCGCTCTCAGGCTCAGGACTCTCCCTACGATGCTCTACTTTTCAAAGAGGGTTTTTTGTCCCCCTTCAGCCCTGGTACTTATCAAAGAGACTCGTGAGAGCTGACACGGCTCTGCGTGGGCTGTCCCCAGCAGCGGGGAGCGCCTGTCACCGAGGACCTGCTACCTGCAGGTTGTTCTCTTGGAAAAGTGACGGTGCCTTCTGCACGGGACGTGGCAGCCCGGGAAGGATCAACTGATAGGCCCCCGCTGCCTGGTAGTGTCCCCCTCCTGACGGGCGCTGCCGAGGGCCAGCGGTGAATCCGATCAGCAATGTCCCCGCAGGCGGGAGTCAGTCCCGAGGGCTGGTTCTATCTCCTCCTCTCTGAACAGGGGCTCTGTGGCCACTGGGTCCCAGAGAATCTCCTGTTACTCGATTTTATCATTCAGTAGCACTGAGAAACGTCTCG